AAACAAATCTCCAGAAATAAATAAGTAAAATAATATATATAAAAAATGAGAGAAAAAAGAAAGAAAAAAAAATGGAGCTGTTAATGCGCTACTCTGCACATCATATTATTAGTGGAACAATCGTGGGCAAGTACAAATAAAGTTTAGCTGCAAATAATAATGTTATAATATAATAAAATATACACTTAATTATATTATATTATATTACAAGGATACTACCTGTATGTTGAAGCTGAATTAGTTGACGACCATGAAAGAGGTAGGCTGATATCTGCTATCTTACCGGCCACAAGTGATGGGTGGTGTCTGCAATTTTGGTACCATATGCTTGGTAGTCACGTGGGCGATTTGAATGTCTATGTAAGAGAAAACGACTGGGAGACAAGGGTAGGTAGACTATTAATTATGCAGTAGAAGCTTGTGGAATAACATAATCAGATTTTCTACATTTTACTTAATTTCGTTTAGATTTAAATTCAGAATCGTGAATTAACCGTACATAACAAGGAGACTGGCGAAACATCCAAAAACATTTTATATCCAGTTACAGTTATTGAAATTCCGATATTTGAGCTCTCCGTGAAATAGTTAGTTACTTGGAAAACTGTGTTTCTCAGATTAATAATGTGTTAATGTATTGTATTGTATATATTCATAATAGATCTGGACTCGTACAGGTACACAAGCAAACGAGTGGAGATATGGTCAACGTTATTTACATATTGATTCAAATTTCGAGATAATATTTGAAGTGACAAGCATAAAGAATGCAAGAAGTGATATTGCTATAGATGATTTGTCTGTACATAGTGGATCATGTCCCCCACACAGTGAGTTTCTGATTCTGATTAAGATCTGCCGAATATTCATTCTTGTAACACCTGCCACAAATGATAGATTATGTAGGTTACTCAACGTATATTTCGATGTGTCTATTGCATAATAGGAGAGTGTGATTTTGAATACGACTTTTGTGGCTGGACCAACGCGGATTATGATAATGTGGATTGGTTACGTGGGAGCAATGGAACTGGTGATGATGGGACAGGACCAACAATTGATCACACCACAGGAACAGAAACAGGTGACTCATGAAAACGTGACGTGTCATAATATTAATATAATTTATCGTAAAACTTGTTATATTTTTCTAATCACGTGTCGCCACTAGTCCTTTTAGTTAGACTGTATCGGTGAGCATCGAACGCTTCAACGTGGCTTCTTCTACTCTGCAGGTCACTTTGCATATATCGAAACAACTACCGCTTTGATTGGCCATTCTGCAGTATTGACAACCACAGAGTTCTCATCAGATATTGATCGCTGTCTGACATTCTGGTATCACATGTACGGTCAAGATATCGGATCACTTCACGTATATCAAATTGACATTGAAAGCGAACTCTCTTCCGCAATATGGTCACGATCGGGGAATCAAGATGATATGTGGCGCAGGGGAACAGTGCCTTTGCCGATAGAACCAACTGGCAATCCGTATTTGGTGAGTGCGAATTCAGAATCACATCCACCATGTCCTTGTCATGTATGCCTTGTGTCAACACTATTTCTATCATAACACTTCAAGTTTACTTGCAGATCTCATTTGAAGGCGTTGTTGGCGGTGGCTCTTTAGGAGATATAGCCATTGATGACATTCTTGTTGATGACATTCTTTGTCAACCAGAAGGCTGGTGTGATTTTGAAATGAGTACATGCGGTTGGACCAATGATCTTGTAAATGACGATGAGTATGATTGGATGCGCAATTCAGGCACTACTCCCACAAGTAATACAGGGCCAACGGAAGACCACACTCTCGACTCTCGTAAAGGTCATCAATGTTCCTTTCTAGTAATGTAGCTCCCTAGTTTTCACTATTTCCTCAACGTCCTCGTTGCAATCTGATGTTATATTCTGTATTGAATCTGAAAATACTTAGCTGTTCAAAATTCCTATTAATAAACAATCACTCATCAGATATTATTTTTCTTCAGGATATTATATGTACATCGAAACCAATGACAATAATGTAGGAGATCGAGCATGGCTTGTTAGCGAGCATTTGCAGCCTAATTCAGGTAAATGATACCGATAAATATACGCATTTATGCATCACAGCCAACTGGGATTTAATACTATATCGTTGTGCATGACATTGAATATTGCCTTGCTCGCTCTATTTTAGGAAAATGTTTCATGTTTTGGTATCATATGTACGGTGATAGTGTGGGCAATTTAAACGTGTATGTCGAGTCGGCCAATAATCCTCTAACACGAAGATTCTCAGCTTCTGGTAACCATGGAGATTTGTGGCACCCTGGACAAATTACAGTAAACTCAACAGAGGAATATTGGGTAAGTCTGAACAAGTCGATTTCAGGCATGTTACGCCACTGTTTTAAAGTCTCAGTCACCGATCGAATCAGTCGAGCAAAGGCGGAGTATAACCACGATTATGAAGCGTTATTTTCAAACTGGTAAGTGTACTTGGTCAACCGAGCACAGCTAGCCAAACCTGTACTTACCAGATGTTTGGAGAGTGTGAATACGCAACAGCCCATAATATAATCATCGTTTAGCCAAACTATATAAACGCTAAGGATGTGACGGTGTATGTTGTTACTATCCAACACCCAAAATAAAACACTTAGTCGCCTCATGAAATTTAAATGAGGTTTCACACGATGAAGTGCGATTTTCCGAATTTATACGGCGTGTTCAGTTGAACAGTGTGCAGTCAACCCAACGGCATTCTAACGCATTTCCGGTATGCGTAAAATCGGGGTACACACATGAGTTAATATACCTCCATGCATGAACAACACTATCTCACTAAATACTAAATAATTCCCCATGTGAACTTAGCTATGTGATTTAAAATAACTATGTATATACCTGCAGATTATTTTTGAAGCAACAAAAGGTGGAAGTCGTGGTGATATTGGTGTAGATGATACTGGAATAAGTGAAGGTCCTTGTCCAATAAACCGTAAGTAATTACACTGTGACGTAAATAATATTGACTCACAGCACATCCATGGTAAAGCATGCTTTGTAATATTTGATCCTGCGATCTGCAGATCTTCCTTAGGACATTCAAATTTACTTATCGTATTTATTGGGCTATTTGCAAAAAGTTGTTTCATTTAATTGCAACGAACGATGTGTTTGCTTGATGAATAATTTGAAATTCATGTATATCAGTGTTAATGTGGTAATACTTGCAGAATACGATTGTACATTTGAAGATGATTTTTGCACATGGAGACAGGATAATGAAACAGATGATTTTGATTGGACGAGACACAAAGGAAGCACTCCGACAACACATACAGGGCCAACGATTGACCACACCTTAGGCACAAGTCAGGGTAAAGTTTAAACAATGACTCGGTGTACCTAAATATTAGTATTGTAGGAATGCTGATTGAAATCATGTTCTAATTGTAGACGCTTACTTCTGCCACATGTGTCCTTGAAATAAAATACTATGCACTTTGTTAAACGAATTAAATATTTAAACGCCAACATTCTTTATTGCCAGGCTACTATCTCTATATTGAAGCAAATTCGGTTGACGATCAGAAGAGAGGCAGATTGATATCAGATATCTTCCCCCCTACAACGAATACGGGATCTTGTATACAGTTTTGGTATCACATGCTTGGTAGTCGTGTTGGAGACCTAAATGTGTATGTGAGAGACGCGTATGGCACCGAGACAAAGGTATAAACTGTGTATGGTTTTAGTGCATTTGTCATAATATAGAGTATACAGAGAAAGAGGTAGTTGGTAATCATAGCCCTCAGAGCTCTATTCTATTTATCATTTTTGTAATTATATTTTAAATTACCAGTATTGGTGTTAACAGAAGTAAAGACTGTAGAACATTTTGACACTAGTTAAACGCCAGATTTTTTTATAATGATGAAGTCCAAAGATAAACTGCACATAAGATACAAAGTCAGTATTTAGTTATATGTTATCTGGTTTAATCTTTAGATCTGGACTCGTACGGGCACACAGGCAGATGAGTGGAGATATGGTCAACGAGATTTGCATATGAAATCAACATATGAAATTATATTTGAAGCTACAAGGATAACACATCAGCGGAGTGATATTGCCATTGATGATTTGTCCGTGCATTTCGGGGCGTGTCCTCCACATCGTAAGGAAATCGTTCTTGTTATTATTAGAAAGTTAATTATACCTGTTATTTAATTACTTATGATACTTGAGCCCCGGCTTATAGAATACATTTGTGCTTTCTGAATGAATTAGGTGAGTGTGATTTCGAGTATGACTTTTGTGGGTGGACAAATATGGATAGTGATGAGTTAGAGTGGTTACAAGGAAGCAATGGTACCGAGACTGCGGGAACAGGTCCAAGTATTGACCACACTACAGGAACAGAAACAGGTGAATTAACTATTATATGACATAAAACATAATTAAAAAATACATTTAATTACCCTTCAAATGTATGTTTTGGGTTGTTGGGTAGTATGTTTACAAAACACTTGTATTGTGTCAATGTAGGTCATTTTGCATATATCGAAACAACGTCTGCGTTGATTGGTCACTCCGCAATATTGACAACCACAGAGGTCACATCTAATATTGATCGGTGTCTGACATTCTGGTATCACATGTACGGTCAAGATATCGGATCACTGCATATTTATCAAAGTGACGTTGGCAACGTATCATCCACACCAGTTTGGTCAAGAACGGGAAACCAAGATGATATGTGGAGAAGAGGTACTGTTCCTTTGCCTATGGAACCAACAGGCAATCCATATTTGGTAAGTGTGACGTGTGAACAAACACGATCTGCTTTACCCAATCGGCAATTACTTTATCCATGTTGTATAAAGTAGTTGTGACAGAAGGTTATCCATTTATAATGCAGTGAATTTTCTACTAGGTATCATTTGAAGGCGTTGTTGGCAACGGTACACTAGGAGATATAGCAATTGACGATGTACTAGTAGATGATATTCCCTGTAAACCAGAAGGCTGGTGTGATTTTGAAATGAATACATGTGGTTGGACCAATGATCTTGTAAATGACGATGATTATGACTGGTTACGCAATGCAGGCACTACTCCTACAACTAATACAGGTCCAAAAGAGGACCACACTATTGACACTGGCAAAGGTGAGCAATCGAATTGCTGTGCGTTGTTTTGCTCTGTATGTGCCGTGTTTCACTTTATGCGCGCTTTCATAATATGTAAACATCGCGGTATTTGAAACAATTGTTTTGGAAAATCATAATTACTATAAACAGTAATTTTGGAAGAGATTATAGAATGTTCCACAATGCTCATTCAAGAACGAAACATATAATTCGCTTTTTCAATTGTTAATAAAATCATGTTATAACTATTTTCTTGTCCGTAGGGTATTATATGTACATAGAATCAAGTGACAAGGATGTAGGTGACCGGGCATGGCTTGTTAGTGAACATTTACAGCCATCGTACGGTACGTTACAATATCGTTGTCCAATGTATGGCTACATACTAATGAATCATGTTTAGTTGTACGGTTCTGACAATGATGAATACGATTTCTCTGCTTTTTTTTAGATAAATGTTTCACATTTTGGTATCACATGTATGGTACTAGTATCGGAATACTGAACGTATATGTTGAATCGCGCAGTAATCCTTCATCATTGAAGTTCTCAGCATCGGGTGATCATGGTGAATTTTGGCACCCTGGACAGATTACGGTGAACTCAACAGAAGAATACTGGGTAGGTTATTAATAATGCGTTATGTATATCAGTATAATCTGCAATTGTTGCAAATGTGCAACGTTATCTGATGTTTTGTTTTTGTTTTTAGATTATATTTGAAGCGACAAAAGGTGGAACCAAAGGAGACATAGCCGTGGATGACACTGCGCTGATTGATGGTGCATGCCCTTCAACACGTAAGTAGTCACTACTCTTTGTTTAAGTTTACACCAAAAACTTATTTGACTATTTCGTTTTTTTTGTGTTTTTTTCCAAATATTTTTGCCAATGAACATAGTAGTTGTTGAGTTTGCATTGTATATATAACAGGAAACCATTTTCATACTCCATATCGACATCTCGAATTTAATATCTTCGTGTATTTGTATAATGTTGCTGCGTAATTGCAGAATATGATTGTGCATTCGAAGAAGATCTTTGCACATGGAGGCAAGACGATACTGATGACTTTGATTGGACACGACATAAAGGTAGCACTGAGACATTGTACACAGGACCAATGGTTGATCACACATTAGGCACAAGTGAAGGTAATACATATATGACAGAAAAATACAATGTTCTGCAATGCCAGTACATTATACTCTAGAAAACATTACCAATACTAACTAACTAGCACAATATTATATGGTGTGCAACAGAATTGATATTGCTTCTCCAACAGTTTAATTGTCGACACGTTTAATCTTCTTTATGTAAGATTATTACAATATGTATTGAATTAATTATACGCTTGGTAAGCTAATAAAATTTGTTTTGTTATGCTTTTATGCTCAAATCCCCAAATCGAATGTTATCCCAATTTAGTTCTTGCAGATGTATCTGGTATGCCGCCATCTTGAATCACATATAATAATATATAATAATAATATATAATAATATATAATAATATATAATAATATAAGGAAGTGACATCACTAGAAATTACCTTCTCTATTTAGTTTCAGTTGTTTTACTCAAATGTTATATATTTTTACATGCACATAATTTTTACTGTTATGTAATTCTGACAACATTTGTATTGTCAGGTTATTATCTCTATATTGAAGCAAATTCTGTTGCTGGTGATGAGAGAGGTAGATTGATATCAGATGTTTTACCACCTACAACGAGTTCTGGGTATTGTCTACAATTTTGGTACCACATGCTTGGTAATATAGTGGGTGATCTAAATGTGTATGTTAGAGATTACTATGGTGTTGAAACAAAGGTATGTTTACATTAGACATTGGTGTAGAGTCGCCAGAATTTGACAACTTACAGGAAAAAAAAATGCATTCAAATATTAATAATGTGCTGACGCTGCCCACTCTTTGATGTAAGATATGGTCACGTATGGGAACTCAAGCTGATGAGTGGAGATATGGACAACGAGATTTGTATATGACATCAAGTTATGAAATCATATTTGAAGTAACCAGGATAACAAAGAAACGAAGTGATATTGCTATTGATGATTTGTCTGTGCATCCCGGACCTTGTCCTCCACACCGTAAGAAACCTGATTCTATATACTATGAACCATTGAAACCATGTTGAAAAACATATACTCACCAAATCTTTATAATATAATATAATATAATAGCCAATCCGATTCGCGCATTTAGCCTTGAATATATTTCCATATTGACTTTTCAGTGGTAATAGACGTAATATTCGGTTTCTGCGCTTGCGCAAACAATACAACCGGTCTAAGAAATGCTGATTTACTTTGAACGAGTTATGTCCCATGTGAATACGTGTAATCTATTGTAATCATCCAACAATAGATCTACATCAATCGGTCGGTCCGACCGTAGTCGCTAAGTATCTAGAAATATACCGTGTACGTAGCTAGGGTTGATAACTTGAATTTCGCAAGGTATTCCTGCATTTGTTGACGTCGTATACCGACGTATAGTAGCTCTATTTATTTTATAAAGGCATTTACTTCTCGCTGTGTATTGTACAAACATCTGGGTTTCATTGAATTTTTCATTAATCGAAAATGTGTTGTTATAATTTGTTTTATTTATGTCCGAGTGCCCCCAGTAGACATCGCGGCTTCTGAAATTTGCCCGTAGCAAATTGTTGCCTACAAAAATCTTAAAATTTACAGAAAGTTCGGAGATTATTATTATAGAACATAAATACACACGGAAGTGTGATGAAATAGCTACCTGTGAATAGAAAAAAATCTGGATGTTGTCATTGAAAACCTGAAATATATAGGGTATATAATGAGTACAAATATTGACCCCAGCCTTGGTCGATATACAGATTTGTCGACCCGAAGTGAGCTTCGGTCAACCATGCTTGGCCCGGGTCAATATTTCTATAATATAATACAATTCGGATAATATTTCTTTTCTGGCACCAGGAGAGTGTGATTTTGAGTATGATTTTTGCGGATGGACTAATAGATTAGAAGGCGATGAGTTGGATTGGTTAAGGGGAAGGAATGGTACTGAAACAACTGGAACAGGCCCAACGATTGACCACACCACAGGAACAGCTACAGGTGAACAATACCGGTTCATAGTGATATTTTTATAGTTTTTGTAGCTGATCATTGATGTTGTTGGCCAGGAAGATTAAACATAAATACTCTTCATTCAGACATAATATCCCTTATATCCAAATAATAATCTAACGATTTATTGAATCTTTTATTATTCAGGTTATTTTGCATATATCGAAACATCGACATCCACGATTGGCCACTCAGCTGTGTTGACTACTACTGAATTCACATCTGACATCGATCGTTGTTTGCGATTCTGGTATCACATGTATGGAGAAGATATCGGATCACTTAACGTTTACCAAATTGACATTGGCAATATATTCCAAACACCAATATGGTCTCGATCAGGAAATCAGGATGACATGTGGCGAAGAGGGTCTGTACCTTTGCCTGTAGAACTAATTGGTAATCCGTATATGGTGAGTACACTGTACAATGTTGTAAAATGCATGTTGTTTAGGACGTCAAATTTTCGATTTGCGCATGTCCCTGTAGTCACTGTAAGTCCGCATAATGTCTAATGCACAATGCCTTTTAAGTGATGTTAGTAATGTGCAATGTGTGTAGTTAATATATTTGTATTACACACAGACGTACGCACTACACCCTTGTTTAGTTTAGCGCTTTTGTACAGTTTATTAAAATCTTGAATATATCAGTATCACAGAAATAAATTGTAGTAAGCCTGTTACAGGGTTTGTTGATAGGCAGTTCATCAGTTGTGGCCGCCTCTTCCATGTCAAGTTCTTGAGTGAAATTTGGGATAAGAAGATATGGTCAAATTGCACTGAAACAGTTTCACATTCATCACATTGATCATTGCGGCTTTTCCACAGATATCCTTTGAAGGCGTCGTTGGCAATGGTACACTGGGAGACATAGCAATTGACGACGTTATAGTAGATGACGTCCCTTGTCAACCAGAAGGCTGGTGTGATTTTGAAATGGATACATGTGGTTGGACAAATGAACTTGTAAAGGACGATGATTATAATTGGTTACGGAATGCAGCCACCACTCCCACAGGGGGCACAGGCCCGAAAATTGACCACACACTTGGCACTGCAAAAGGTTATTTAAAAAATTGTCACCTACTCGAATTTTGCATCACAGATATAATCTCAGAATGACTATATCTATATATTTCCCACACAGGGTATTATATGGTTATTGAAACAAATGATGGGAGTGTTGGTGATCGAGCATGGCTTGTCAGTGAACATCTACAACCGACATCGGGTAAGATATGTCTCGGTTGACAATATGTGCAATGTTAATGGAACGTTCAGATCTAGATATGACATCATTGTTTAATGGTATAAAATATAATTAACATTAGTAGTAATGAAACACTGAGGAGTGTGCAAAGTGTGAAACGCCACTGACGACACTAAGCATGAATATCACCACGTGAATGATATGAAATTGTACATTCATTTTAGGCAAATGTTTCATGTTTTGGTATCATATGTATGGTGGTAGTGTGGGAAATTTAAACGTGTATGTCGAGTCAGCCAATGATCAACCTACGCTAAGGTTCTCAACATCCGGTAACCATGGAGATTTGTGGCATCGTGGACAAATCACAGTGAACTCAACAAAAGAATATTGGGTAAGTCAGAAATAATGTAGGTATATACCATATACCTGAGGGTAAATATTCATGTTTATCGCCATTAAATTACATTACAATACCGAATTCGTACAGTCAGCTTAGAGTTTCACAGAAGGAACACGGCCACGCAGTGACAAGTTAGAATCTCGGATATTACAACACGACGTATATTACCATAAACTAATTATATCACGAACAAATATATGGTGTAATGATACCTATAGCTTTCGTATTGTTACTTTTTATTGCCCTACAGTAAACAAATTTGATTCCATATTTAGGAAATATGGAGGATGAGTTTATTTTTTTGCCTGAACAATATATTTTATATGTGTTTTTCATTCGTTCATACAACAGTTACTGTTCATTCTCGACGGTCGACAAATTTGTTACTCATTTACTTTACCGAACGTAATTAGTCCTGATAAACAGAATTGCACACATGGTTCATTGCATCAAAAAAAACAAAACAAAACAAGAATGTGTCTCTATCCAAATATCGCCAAAAAATACGTTCTAACGTATAGAAAACGTGTTTACAAAGTTAAAAACTACACAATTTTTCATTTCGAGACAGCTTTATTTTTCAATATTATTTCGCAAGGATAATGGTTTATAAATATTCTTGCAATACATCAATTCTGCACTAACTGGAATAATTTCTAAAGCTATGTGATTTACAGTAACTATGTATATCTATAGATTATTCTTGAAGCAACGAACGGCGGAAGTAGCGGTGATATTGGTGTGGATGATACAGAAATAATCGAAGGACCCTGTCCAATAAACAGTACGTTCTTAAATTTTGACGTCCATTTATAGAATTATATATGGTACTAACACAATATTCTTTGTAACATTTGTTCTTATATTTTCATTTTACTGTTTGTCGTTGGAAATGTCAAATTTGAAAATCATATATATATTGGGCTAAATGCAGGAAGTTGTTTCATTTAATTACAACGGACGATTTGTTTACTTGGTGAATGATTTTTATATTCATTGATCATTGTCATTGTGGTAATACTTGCAGAATACGATTGTACATTTGAGGAAGACTTTTGCACATGGAAACAGGATAATGAAACAGACGATTTTGATTGGACGAGACACAAAGGAAGCACTCCGACGTCACATACAGGGCCAAAGATTGATCACACTTTAGGCACGAGTCAAGGTACAGTATAAAAAATAGCACGGTGTACCTAAATATTAGTGTTATAGGAATGCCGATTGAAATTAAGCTTCTACGAGAGTTACATATGTACACATTCGTCTTTAAATCTTTATTGACAGGCTACTATCTCTATATTGAAGCAAATTCGGTTGACGATAGTGAGAGTGGTAGACTGATATCAGATGTCCTCCCCCCTACAACGAATACGGGATCTTGTCTACAGTTTTGGTATCACATGCTTGGTAGTCGTGTTGGAGACCTAAATGTGTATGTGAGAGACGCGTATGGCACCGAAACAAAGGTATAAACTGTTCGTCGATTTAGCTCATTCATAGAGAAAGTGCTAGTTGATAATCACAGTCCTTGTGATTCTACATGACTATATCATAGTTCTAATTGTACGGTATTGTAAATTAGTAGTATTGATGTTAGCATACGACGCCAGGTAAACACTGGAAATTATTCTGTTTAGTGATGTTTATTATTATACATCTGTCACCGTAACGCCATAAGTTACAGCGTGCCGTAATTTTGCGGTATTTTACGGTGTATTTTTATCCTACCATGTTAGGAAATGCGTATTCCAAATATGGAATGATTACGCGCGTAAGCGTCCTCTAATAATAAAAACAAACATGGCTGTCACCAGGGTGTTACCGGACCCCATACAAAGAAGTTCGCTGATTCTGTTCTAAACTTTTTAGATTTCGGCATTCCCATGATGTATCTTTGGTATACATATGCACTTGTCACCATAACGTCATAAGTTACAGCGTGCCGTAATTTTGCGGTATTTGACGGGATATTTTCATCTTACCATATTAATGCGTATTCCAAATATGGAATGATTACGCGCGTAAGCGTCCTCTAATAATAAAAACAAACATGGCTGCCACCAGGGTTTGACCGGACTTCATACAAACAAGTTCGCTGATTCTGTACTAGACTTTTTATATTTCGTCATTCCCATGATGTATTCTTGGTAGGAAAGTCACTCAGACAGTATGCTGTCGCATCGACCTCCGCTGCGTGTCATCCAATACTGTCTTCGTGCATACTTTGACGTATAGGCACGGATCTAGAAGCCGTACCTACACACGAATTGGTGACGTCACAAAATACATGACCTTCAATCGGGGCTGTTTCCTCGGTATATACGAATTGGTATATACAAATTACAATAAAGATACTTAAGACATTACACATAAGGTAAAACAAATCATGTGACAATATAATGATAATAACGGTAATAAATCCTAGCTTAACAGTTGAACAGAACGATCATATAGTCAGTCGGGTGACGCCGAGGGTCACGCACTTGTTGCAAAATGGCCGTGTGGTTGAAACTGGGTCATGGCGTGACGGGCGAGGAAGACATCATTAAACACTCTCAAAATCACAATAAAACGGCGAAGTGGTTGCATATTACGGCGTAGCCAACATGGGAAATAAAAAAAAACGCTCAATACAAACGACATGGGTTCGAATCACACGAGATACACACTCACCAGAACTGAAGCAATCAGAAACGAGCAATCGTTTTGGCTTTTCCGTTCAACTCATCGGAACACTGGAGTAGTTAGAAAAATGAACACCACTTAACGACCAACGTCGTGGCGTGGTACACAAGCGTGCCATCAAAATAAAACAAAATTAGCTTGAAAAGACAGTGGGTTCGAGTCCCGCTCAAACCGTAAACAAGTAAGCAAAGAACGTCGCGAAAAAAATAATAAACCTCACAAAACTCCACCATACAAAACTGAATGAATAAATAATAAAATAACTTACGTCTTAAACTGGACGACGAGCAATTTGTTCAACAGTTTCCAGTCGCAAGAGATAAACAAGACCCAAGTCAAGGTAAGTTTTGTTAAAGTGTCGATGGCGGTCCCTATATTACGAAAACAATTCAGGCAACAGACGAATATCTTCTGCGGTGTTGTGGAATTTATACTGTGTCTGCGGAATTGTTGATTGAGGGTTCGAAGTCAGCAGTTAACATTTTGTTAGGAAGTTTCACAATTAAATCAAATATCCAATGATACCAGTATATTTATTTCATTATTTTAACAACTTGCAATGGTGTTAGTTGGTCAAACACGAGTTCTTACACCTAAATAAGTATCAAATATTTATCCACACATTTATTCTCTCAATTTAACAACCTTGTAGCGGTGGAAATAAATTAAACAACAGGTATTTACTCACAAATATAATGGTCAATATTTGTCCATACATTCATTCTGTCAATTTAAGAACTTGTAATTGTTGGAATTAAGGTAGAGATGCAGTTTATTTGTGAATTTCAATCCAAAATATTTTTTTTCGTTTTTTATATAGATTTCTATCTAAAGAACATTCTGTGAAAATTTGACCAATGAATTCTTATTGGAACACCGTTAAAATTGCTGTTTATTTTCTGGTTAAAAATAAAAAACACTCACACGTGGCAATGTTTATGTCCAATTGCCTAATTTGCATGAGTAACCAAATAACAGGACCTTTGATTGACAATATGCAAATCGAGCTTGTACGGGTCATAGTTCATTCAATTCACGCGCATGTGCAATTATTCTCAATTCAGTTATCGCTCGCTAGCAAACCAAACATTATATTTCCTCGGCGTTTTTTCCTAATTTTTATCATTACATTATGCGTGGTGTGAAAGGAAAGAGAGGTAGAAAGAAGATTCAGATGATTTCTATGTCGGAAGAGGCAAAAGCTACACTGAAAGGCATCAGCCCACCGAACGAAAAACAAAATCGATGTGAACGTCCAAACGTGACTTTCCCTGAAGCGTGAATCCGAGTTTCTGATTGACTG